TAAAAGAACCACTAATAAGATTCTTGACAATGGAATGGTATCAGAAACATGTATAACTCAATACCGTTGCAGATAAACTTGTACGGCTTCTTAATAGACTTACCAGCAATTTTAATCTTTCATCATCACCAAAGCACACTACAGCCGACACAGGAGTACAAGAGGTTCATTATACCCATGAAGTAAGACAATTGCAGCCCGGCAAAAGAATTTTGGGGTTTAGTCATGATGGCTTAAAAATTCGATTATACACGGATAGACTTCTTCCGCGGCCTGGACATAATAGCAAAAACATGAGCCATTATGAAATGCAAATAAGTTCTTTTTGATAACCAAGAAGGTGGAACAAGGAAAGCTTATAACTAGTTACCGTTCTTCCTCCTACTAAGTCATAATGAGCATAATGCTGGCCATCCTGCTCCCCAAATACTTTGTAGCTTACCAAGTTCTCAGGAAGCAGTTTCACGGTCTCTGATCAAGTCGATTGTAAGAAAAGTTTCATATCATAGGAAAAGAGTATATCCATACGTCAAGACCTAGAAATACATACCATAAACAGCCTCAGGCGGGCAAATCAGGTCACGATCTCCTGCAATAGCTAAGACAGGGACATCGCACTTATGAAGATGTTCCTTGTAAAAAAAATTACCACTTCTGTCACGTAGTCCTCCCTCCCGAAAAGCAGTCGTCAGTTGCAACAGAAGTTTAGCAGGTATTGTGCCTGGCAATATTATGACATGACAGTGTCACGTATAAATGAAGAAGTGATAACCAACCACTGTAGCAGTAGGATAGACATCTATACTCACAGAAGTTGTTCAACACTAACTTCTTTAACAACTCTGGATGCATCATGTCCGGGGCTGATATCAGATCCACAAGCCAAGACAAGACATAAGGAGGACTAGATGAGAGAGGATAAGCAGCAGAAAGTAATGCTCCTAATGGAACGACAGGCACATTTAGAATCTGAGCGGGATCAGCCTGCACCAAATTCATTTCTTTTAGTTGCATTTCACAGTGGAATGCAGTAACATAAATGAAGGAATAGGCCAAGAATCATGTTCAACTTACAAGGGGTAGTAGTAGTTTGAGCGATGACTTAGAAGTTGTGTAATCAAGTGAAGAGGCCAACGTAACAGTAGCAGCCAATCCAGACTCCCTTCCCTTGAAGGCTTAAAAATTGAACCATATGACTTAGACAGGAAAACTCAAGCATCTATACTTCGACTCCAATTTTCTATTGAGCAGACATTAGTATGTGAATTTAAAACAATATATAAAATTAAAACAAATAATTAATAACAAAATGAGAGGATGCTAGGAGCTGTCCAACTTACAGCATAGAACAACTTTTATACCTTAAGACATCAATTTAACATGAAAACAACATTTGAGTCTTACCACATCTTGATAGCATGGCATACAACAAGATGCCCCCCATCGAATGTCCAATTGCAAGCAATTTTCCATCCCGAGATCCACTTTGGGCCCTTATATATTCCATCTACATGTATCAACAAAGATGACAGTAAATTGCCACAAAGAAGATTCACCATAATTTGCCCACTTAATCTGAAGAGAAAACTTATATGTTGTTAATATCTCATACATTATGATAAAGGGCAAATGTCACCTCACCACCACAGGGACATCCTCTTCCAGGTAATGATCAAAGTCCCAATCGTACTTGACAATCAAGTCTAGTTGTTTCTGGAAATCTTCTATAGTTGTTGCAAGACGCTCCTGTAGATCATATAACTGAGGCGAAACAGAACGCTGTCCCTCTTCTACAATATTCACTAGCTTCTGACTTAAATCTCTTATTTGGCCAGCAACTGCAGAACTCTGTCTGGTTTCTAGTAAATTCAACAGTTTCCCCCTTACCTCATTAAAGCGTTCAAATAGAAAAGAATCTTCTAATAATTTAGATATCTGATCAAATAATTTAGCAGACATAATTCTTGACTGACTTTCATTGAGAAAGCCAGAGAATCTTTCTGACAAACTGATAAAAGTCTCTGTTAGTTTTGCCACCAATTTTGATTCATCCCATGCTGTAGGAATCCCCAAAACATCTTCATTAACTGCAGAAACCTTAGATTCTGCTGACTTATTTTGGTTAACAGTTGACTTCTGCACTGCAGAGGGTGCACCATTAGTTGCACCCTCAGCAGCTGCTTCCATTTCTTCAGATATAGCATAAGCCGACTTCTCAATGTCTTTGGCATCTGACTCCTGCATGCTCAAACCCGCACCACGAACTTCAAGGATCCATGTGTCAAATCCTTGCCCACACATGTAACGGGCAAATGAAGACTGCAAAATCAGTAGGAAGATCAAGATTGATAATCTTTTTCAATCTCAGAAGCCAAATTGAGAGTATTAAACACCCTCACGCCCAAGACACAGTATACAAAGTTATCTTTAAAATCTATAACTTTTTTTTTTTAGTGCATAGAATAAAATAATTTTGAAAAACTGATTTCCTGAGATAGCACCTTTATACAACTAAATACTTTCAATAAAAAGACATTTATATTGATTATATTTGGCATCTCAGCTCTTTATACTGAATGGATCCAAGACTTCTCTTGTATATATTTTTTCGTCAAGCTAATCCTACTTACAGTCAACTTCAGCTCCTCCCATTTCAAGTCACCAGGTGTACCGTAGATGAAGTCCAACCACAATGAAGTACTGAAATTGGCATGTTTTTTAAGCTCTAACTCACAAATTCATTTCTCCATCTTCAGTTTCTCCCATTCCAAGTTAGCAGGTGTCAAAGGTGCGGGGGTTAAACTCTCAGAACCCTTTATATAGCATGTTGAGGAACGAAAAGAAGTCTCGGGTCTTAAAAAGGCATTGATGATAACAAAATCCAACCACTATAAATTCAACCCAACTTGGCATGTTTCTTAAGCTCTCAACTCATGAATTTATGTTTAGAAAGCATCAAATTCATTTAGAAAGAGTATCTGAAAGGAAAGGATGACATGATGTTTAATGCTTAATAACAAGATGGATTAAATTGGTAATGTAGATGATAAAAGGAGCAAAACTGACTGACTAAATTAACTAACCCACCCCGGGGGAGAGATCATATCCAATTGCATTAGTCCCCACACCTGACAACAGTAGCAACGGATGATTCCTCCTTGGCGCCTGTCATTTTTCAAATTCAGCTAATCAATGACATTTCCAATCACAATTTCTCAATAGAGTAATCTTTTCAAAAATGGAGGTAATAAATTTTTTTCATCTAACAAGATAAAGAATTTTTGTGGACCTGAGGGGGAGGAGAGTAGCGCCAGAGAGCAAGTCTCCATTGAGAATTCTTAACGGTTACATAGTGAAGTTCATCGGCGGTGCAAATCGGCGGCTTTTCAGGAAGCTTTCCGACGCCGGTGCTCGAAGCACCGGCGGAGCTGCTGCTCTTGTCGGTGTCGGTTGAGAAGGCTTTGACTCTGATGGCCAACCTCCGCAACGGCAGCAGAGGAGACTGACGGAAAATGATGGCACGAGAAAGGTTGAAACCGGTGGAAGGGTGGCGGAAAGCGGTGGCAAAATGCATGGCTGAACGGATATCTGATTGAGCTAAAATCGTCATGGTATATATTTTTTCCTTGTCCCAAAAAATAAAAAATAAAAAGGAAAGAGAATAGAAAGTGCTTGTATGAATTTAATGATTGAATGCCGGATTTTGCGGAAGGAATAAAAAAAAGGAAAAGTTCAAAGAAGAAAAAGAAAAAGAAAAAGAGCACGGGTCGGGTCAAATGGAAGCAAAAGCCAAGAAGGTTGCTTTGGAATACACGTGTCATGAGGGATTTGCATTACTAAAGATTCGATATAAATCCTTCATTTGAGAGTCATCTATTTTAAGATTTCATTTGGTCCCATTCATTCGAATTCTCATTCTGTGATATACTTCTCAACCAATATAGTACTAGTGATAAACTAAATTTGACAGGTTAAAGAAAATAAATTTCAAGTTTTAATGAATTGAGGAATAAAAAAAAAACCATCAAACCAGTTCTCAAAGAACCAATTTACTAACTAATTCCATTTTCAAGCCACATGAATGCAGCTTTTAGCTAATTGACTTGAGCAGAGTGTTTGCCTCTTTCGATGAACATGAGTTGAAGTTATTTTTGAGATTAATGGGATTAGAACCTAGAGTGGTTTGCCTCTAAAGTGATGACAGGAGGATGTTCAAACAAATGCCAAAGTTGAAGTTCAATTTTAGACTAGGCTAGATTAGGTTATAGAACATCTATCGTTTCGACAAAAAAAAAAGAAAAGAAAAAAGGATTAGAACCTAGTACAAAAGCTCCAAAACGATAGTGTATACTTTTAAGCTTCAACTTTCTTTCTTTTTCCTTTTTTTTTTTTGGAGGGAAACTTTTTATTGAAGTCCTCAAGTTTGTAAGTTTGTGGTAGCGTTACACCATTTAGTATTTTTGGTGTTGTCGACCAATTAATCACAAACAATAAAGTAGTAAATAAAAATCATCTCTTCAGAACCACGGAGCACTCAATAACTACCAAAAAGATTAAAGTTTCTCTTTGGACTGTTGGTCGGGAGTCCTCTTTGGATTGTAGGTAGGGAATTCGAATCTCTGCAATGAAAAAAATTCAAATAAAGTATTAGAGTATTTCTTGTCTAATCTATATCTCTTATAGAATATATCTATTAAGTTACAGAAATATTAGCGTAACTGAATAAAAAAATAAATAAAACCGCCCCTTGAGCGTGGGCTTGTAATCCAACCAATTCAATACAACAACCCAAACCATAAAATGGACATAGCAAAAGAAGAAAGACAGGACAATGATTTGAGTTTTACGGGCTCTTAAGTAGAGACTAGAGACAGGACAGCCCATCCACAACTAACCTTCCTCTCTCCCTTTCCAGGTTCCCCTGCAAGCGCCTGAAACTCACTTCTTCCAGTTGTTAAACCCTCCAAAACCCCCGCAACATTCTACTCACTTCTTCCCTCAGTGCTTTGAATGCTTTTGAAGTAAATAAAGAATTAAAAGAAAAACATGGGATCAAAGAGTGATGGGATGCAGCAAGTAAAAGTGGAGAGAGTATTCATTGGAGCAGGTTGTAACAGAATAGTTAACAACGTTTCATGGGGTGCCTGTGATTTAGTTGCTTTCGGTTCTCAAAACGCTGTTGCCATCTTATGCCCCAAGGTTCTTCCTTTTTTCTCTTTCAAGAAATTTCATGAATATTTTTATATGGAATTGGGGATTCAAGTATTCTTTTTTTTTTTTGGGCCAGATTGCCCAGATTTTAACTACACTTCCTGGTCACAAGGCATCAGTCAACTGCACTTACTGGCTTCCCAATGCAAAGTTTGCTTATAAAGGTACAATCTTTTTACCATGTGGCGCAAGTCAGCATTGCCTGGCTTGAGTTTTCCAGTTTTAATTCAATGGCCCTGAAAAGTAATAGCTCTGAAGCTGCATTTGTTGTAAGATGTTTGGTTATTTTAGATGTTATTTGAGTTTACTGGGTAATTAATAAGAGTTTTGTGTTTACAGCTGTGGAGATGGAAAGACACTATCTGCTATCTGGAGATGCTGATGGTGTCATTATTTTGTGGGAGTATACTATTTTGGATAAGAAGGTAATTTTCAACTATCGGTTGAATCTGCTATTTGGTGAAGCCTATCTATAAGCATTTGTGTAAAGTAGGACATCTTGACATTTAATTCTTCTTAAAAAATAAGATGCAGTGGTAATTAAGTGTACCAGCAGCTATGACTAGATGTTTACGACATTCTGTTTTGGTCTTTCTTCTACAATGATGAATGTTGATCATGTTTCTTCAACTGGAGTTATAAGTGATTAGGGAAGGAAACAGTTATTGGAATGATGTCATCTCAATGCTTGTAAAATATTCAATCCTGCAGACTTTTTCTATTTCAATTTTTCATTAAATGATCTTTCCTTTAGGGGCTAGGCCGGGTAATGAAAATAATTATGGTGATTTTGATGTGCATACTTATACATGGCAGTAAAGAGCAAAATGGAAAGAAAAAAGAAAACCTGAAGCAAGCATTTGTCTAAGCTTGATACCTGAAACTTAATATGCCTAACCTGTTTTGAATCATGAAAAAAGATAAAGAGGGTAGAAATTTAGTGGAAGGAGAAAGGATAAGTCTTAGAACATGTAAAAGGTTTCCCTACTACCTATTGCTGCTTGACATGAATACACTCCCTTCCAGTTCACCTAAGATGTAAGTAAAATGAGTAAAACAGTTTATTCGCCTGAATTAAATGAGTGAATACAATTCGCCGGAAAAGGTTGAAGAAGTGCAACAAGAAAATTCTTTTTTTTTTCTTCTTTCTTTTTCCCCTAAAGTTTTCTTCTTTGCCCCTCCTGCTATTTTAGTAGTGGGAATTGATAGGAGAATCTATCTCAAAATGGGAAAAATTGTTGAGATTTTTAGGTATTATGATCACCAGCCACCAATTCATGCTATTCTAGTGTATGTGTGAGGCTAGTTTAGTTCCACTTCGTTGCACCGTCAGTGTCCGGCTATAAGAGTTATACTTCCCTCCATTTTCTTAATATTGAAATATTTCTTAGTTGGATCATTTAGACTGGCTCTTCTGCTGATGATTTTATTGGAAGCTCACACTCCTGAGTTATGACCCTGTTATCTTAGCTGGTAATCTTGTTGACAGTGGAGGCATGTGTTACAAGTACCACAACCACATATAAAAGGTGTTACATGTATCAGTGGGATCATGATGTCACAGAAAGATGCAGTATTTGCATCGACCTCCTCAGATGGCACTGTGAATGTCTGGGAGTTGGTGTTTCCATGCACTAGTGAAGGTGAGCAATAGCTATCTGAACTGTTTCATGTCCATGCTTTGAATTTTTGGATCGATTATTATTCTGGTCATGTGAAGATAACTTCTCTTAATGTTTCAGCTGTCTTCATTAACTTTCCTGCATTCTTTTAATTAGTCAATTTCTTTATATTGATTTTCTATGTGTTTCCACTCTTTGGTGTGAAGAGGATAAGAAATTTACCTTGTACTAGTAATCTCAAACAGAATTTGATGTCACAATTTTTTGTCATATGTGAGAATATGTTACCTAGCCAAGGTCCTTTCTTTTTCTACTTTTAGTTTTTCAGATAGAGCAAGGGAACGATCTTTATATAGTTCATTCTATGTCAATGCATTACCAGCATAGTGTTATGTTGTGACTTATTAATCTGTAGTTAATTCACATTTGGTAGTTATTCAATTTCTCTGTGCAGGTGACTGTAAATTATCATGTGTGGAAACCCTTTCTATTGGTTCAAAGTCTATGGTCGCTCTTTCACTAGCAGAGTTGCCTGGAAATTCTGGACATCTAGCTTTGGCTATGGGGGGATTGGATAACAAGATTCATCTGTATTGTGGTCAGAGGACTGGAAAAGTATGTAGTGCTTGACATACCTATGCTTTTAAACTTTTCAATTTGTGTTATCAGTTAGGTTCTTTGTTTCTTATTTGTTATTTGTGCCAGTTTGTTCCTGCCTGCCAGTTGAAAGGACATACTGACTGGATACGGAGTTTGGATTTCTCCTTACCTATACTTGGAATTGGTGAAACGTTTATTTTACTTGTAACTTCGTCTCAAGACAAAGGTATTCGCATATGGAAGATAGCTTTCCGTGATTCCTTGGATACTAAGAAAGAAGAAATCAGCTTGGCTTCCTACATCAAAGGTCCAGTGTTTGTGGCTGGCTCAAACTCGTATCAGGTTTCTATGGAATCTCTGCTCATTGGCCATGACGATTGGGTGTACTCCGTGGAATGGCAGCCTCCATCCATCATCAATGGCAATGAATGTTATCAACCTCAAAGCTTACTATCGGCATCCATGGATAAGACAATGATGATCTGGAAACCTGAAAAGACTACTGGTATCTGGATCAATGTGGTAACTGTTGGGGAACTAAGTCATTGTGCTTTAGGATTTTATGGAGGGCATTGGAGCCCAAAAGCAGATTCAATTTTGGCTCATGGATATGGTGGATCTTTCCATCTATGGAAAGATGTTGGTGTTGCTTCTGATGATTGGAAGCCTCAGAAAGTTCCCTCTGGACATTTTGCTGCAGTGTCTGACATTGCATGGGCTAGACAGGGGGAGTACATATTGTCTGGAAGTCATGATCAGGTAATCAGTTTCCCAATTTGGTGTCTCACGAATCTCTCTCTCTCTCTCTCTCTCTCTCTCTCTCTCTACCTCTCTCTCTTCTCTTTCCATGTCTGCGCATGCATGCATGTGTTTTCCTGAGATATCCACATAATTTGGTGATTAAGTTGACCTCTTGTTTCACAGAGAAGAAAGTTCTGTGCAAACTTATTTTTTCGTGTGCTATAGTAGTATTATATGCTAACACTTGCAGATCAATAACAGTGCAGTAATGTAATTGGAAAATGACTTGGTTTGTTTATGTTAGCTTGTAAAAATGCATGCTGCTAAAAGTTGCACATCCCTGGGTAAATGAACCAACAAATGATTATACAGTAAATGCACTTCAGAATCTTTGAGTCAGATTAAACAAAACCTTGCACACATAACTTTCCATTCTTTATTTTCCCTGCTTTCTGCTGCATATTCAGGTTAGAAATTTCTCTTACAAGCTTTTAATTTCACAGACGAGTAGAATATACGCACCTTGGCCTAAAAACTCTTGTTTAGAAAATGAAGACAATTGGCATGAAATTGCGCGGCCTCAAGTTCATGGCCATGATATAAACTGTGTTACCATTATCCAAGGAAAAGGGAACCATCGGTTTGTAAGTGGGGCTGAGGAGAAAGTTGCTAGAGTTTTTGAAGCACCACTGTCCTTTTTAAGAACTTTAAGGCATGCAACCTCAGGAGACTCCAGTTTGCTTGATGATCTTCAAGCTGAAGTGCAGATTTTGGGTGCAAATATGTCTGCTTTGGGGCTGTCACAGAAACCCATTTACAGTCAAGGTGAGCTTGATCTCATTTCTTATGTTTATCTTTTTGTCCTGACAAAGATTGATAAAAGATACTTGTTATGCTGCATCTTTTGAGCATTTGGTCCATCCTTCTTTCTCACTGAACCTGCATTTTCAGTTTATTTTTCTTAATGGATGGTCCAGTGGACTCCTTTCATATTCTTTTTTTTTGGGGTTCTGGGCCCATTGTTTTCTTGTGTCTTTACTTTGTTTGGGAAGGTTGGCATCTGACAGCGCAATTTTTTCTTGTAAGATCTAAAACAATTTCTATAATAGAATTCGGAATAATGTGAGAGCTGCTTCCTTTCAGTTTCACCCGAGACAACCAACAGAAGTAATACTGATGGTCTAGACACACTAGAAACTGTCCCAGAAGCTGTTCCAGTTGAATTTACAGAACCACCTATTGAAGAACAGCTAGCGTGGAACACACTATGGCCAGAGTCCCACAAGCTATATGGTCACGGGAATGAATTATACTCTTTGTGTTGTGATCACAGTGGAAAACTTGTTGCTTCATCTTGCAAGGTTTGTAAAATATTTTTTACTTGCAATTACAAATGATAGCTTCATGTATATATATACACGTATATATATGCATCCTTTTTATAAATACACGTATATATATACACATATACATACATATGTGTGTGCGTGTGTATTTTAAATGAACCCAGTCTCAGGTTACACAAGCGCTTTGTTCCTCACTCCATTTGTCAACCAAGAGAAAATCTTCCAAGTCATGTGGCTTGACTAGAGAAATCACCTAGGATACGCATTCCTGTGCTTATCCCATGTGTAGTAGCAAGTGAAGATTTCTGAACCCATTTGAATCTCTATTGGGACCATTCTATCCATTTTAAGCAGTTTCTTTTCCATTTTAAAGTTTTTAAATTTAAAGTGACATTGCCATTCTGCACAAAAATTGACTGTGGCATTCTCTGTATTCTATGCAGTAAAAGTGCCGCAACTATCTTGATTTATTGGAAATATACTTCTAATTGGGATGCCATTTTCCTGAAAAATAATGTGTAGATGATTAGTGGATGTACCACAAGGCTTTGAGATTTGAGAGCAGTGGTTTTTTAAGCTGGTGCAGCATACATGGAGCACACCATGTCTTGTTTGCATGATTGTATGAACAGTAATGCCATAACCACGACATAAACCATGAGGTGTAATTTTGTGTATCTTCATTCGGATATTATGTGTTTGATAATTGTGGTTGCCAATTATTTTGTTGATCACTTCTTCTGTCTTCCATTTTCTTTGGGTGGGGATTGCATGGTGGAGTTACCTGCACTTGTACATGGCTTTACACTCGTCTGTTGTAGGCTCAATCAGCATCAGTGGCAGAAGTGTGGCTTTGGCAAGTTGGTTCTTGGAAGTCCGTTGGCCGGTTGCATTCTCACAGTTTAACAGTGACACAAATGGAGTTCTCTCATGATGACAAATATCTTTTGGTAGTCTCTAGGGATCGCCACTTCTCTGTTTTCTCAATCAAAGATGCTGGTATACTTTCTTAGCTTATGTTATCATATCTGTTAGCTGTTTTGTTGTTCCCCATAGACATCTTTTGACATGTCTTGGATTTTCCAGGAGCAGATGAAATTAATCATGAGCTGATGGTGAGGCAGGAGGCGCACAAAAGAATAATATGGGCATGTTCATGGAACCCGTTTGGTCATGAATTTGCCACAGGTTCTAGGGATAAGACCGTCAAGATCTGGGCAGTGGAGAATGCATCTACCATTAAGCAGCTTATGACGCTGCCATCTTTCAAGAGCAGTGTCACTGCACTATCCTGGGTAGGCCTTGGTCGCCAGAGCAATCATGGATTTCTTGCTGTAGGAATGGAAAGCGGGTTGATCGAATTGTGGAGTCTTTCTTGTGAAAGGTCTGACAATGGGAATTTAATGGTGCCAAATGCAACTTGTGTTGTTCAGTTTGATCCTTTCTTGTGCCATGCTTCCCCGGTTAACCGGTTAACATGGAGACATTCTGAAAAAATTCCAGATTCTAAGGTCATTCAGCTTGCATCTTGTGGAGCTGACCATTGTGTAAGAGTGTTCAATATAGATTTTCTTTAGGAATATGACAAGACATCCAACTGTATATCTGTTGTCTGTTTGCAAATTATATTTGAGTGTATATATATATATTTTTTTTAAGATTTTGGTAATTTTTCATGCCAACCTTGTCTTCTAAACGGTCGAGTAGAATCACATATAAACATAGGATCATGAAAATTTGTTTGCTTGTCGATGTTCATTTCAAATATCTGAGCTTACAGCTGGTCCTTTGCAAATGCTGCTCAAAGATCTTTGGTGCTATATTTAACAGATCTTCACCCGTCCATTTGTGTTTTTTCTTTCTTGTAAATCCTAAAATCTTTGTCGGCAGCATAGCACAAGGATTCTTGACAAGTACAGATACAAGTGGATGAAGATCCTTCATGAGAGTCACACTTTTTCATGAGCTTATTGATGATGATGATGATTGCTTTATCATTTGCCCTTGTAGGGTGGTCACAAACTTGCATTCGGTTTATTGAGTAGAAAGCAAGATTTGCTTAGTCAAGAAAGGGCGATGGAGACTACGGTACTATGCACTTTAAACAGCAGCCAATGTTCCGTGAAGTCAGTTTCCATTGATGTTAGGTGTCAAAAACAGTGCATATTTTGACCAGCAGCAATGTAGGAGAATGACTGAATTGTTTGTCAATTGTTGGAAGTGGTCCTGAGGCCCTGATTTGCTTTGGTAGTGGGAATCACGTCTCTGCTACTTGGGTTTCTTGCTCTACTGGAGCCATGCTATTTTCTTGAGCTGCTCCAATCAAAGCGATTTTGAGCCTTGCTCTCTAGAAGAAGTCATTTTTTCCACTAACAAGAAAATTTGAAGTTAGAAAGCGATATCTGAACTTTAAAATATCAGCAATTTGAAATTTTCTTACCCAAAAAATAATTATTTTGATTGAATGCTGGGACCAAATTTAGGTGGGAAAAATGTACAAAGCGCCACCATGTCCCCATGCCATATAAACCATCAAATAAGAAAAAAGAAAATAGCCCAGTGCAGACTTTATTATCTATTAATTTCAAAAGTAAACAAAAGAACTCCATATATTTTTCCAATTCAGTCTCTAATATGAACTGATGATCTTGTCATGCTACTAGGATATATTTCAGCATCAACTCAAAAGTAAAAGCTCCAAACGCTGAGTATTTTAACTCTAGTTGGAAGCCTGCGTTGACAAAGGAAACAAAGGGACGAAAAATTCAGGCCCTACAGGCCAAAAAATCAGACAATAATGCCTATTACCAACCAGTTTAATCAGACCTGAGTAGTTTTAACCTCCCACTTCATACGTTCGCCTCAGCCCATTTGAAAATTAAAAAACATTCCTGAGGTGATTAATCTTTTTGATTGCCTCGTTGATCGAGATTGATTGAACCCACCTAGGTTTTGATCCCATATTCCTATGCCCTTCAATATGTAGCCCCACAACCCATACAGGCACTGATCCCAAATACTAAATAGAAAAGTGGGTCGTCCTTTGTTTTCTTGTATCCTTGGTTGGCAGTATTTTACACATGAGATGTGTCTGCATGTTGCAGATATAATAACACCCAAGCGTGGATGCATCAAGATTGTTAAGTACGAGGCACTCGCTATCCTTTGTTACCATGTTGCCTCCACCCTAGGTAATGGATTACGTTTTTTCCTAGTTGGAAAAGTGACCATTGCCTGTGACCAGTCTCAGTTAGATTGAAGTTGTTGTTGCCTTGGATTGTTGTTTTTTGCTTGGTCAAGATTTTGCGTGTATTATAGAACAAAATTTTCAATCACTTTTTTATTTTATTTTATATATATCAAATCATTATAATATATGTTTTTTTAAAAAAAAAATTCTAAAAATGACAATCCGAACAAAAATGGACGTGGTACAACTAAAGATTGTGGAGGAGAGATGGAAAATTTGGAATGGTTTAAGTAAATATAATGTTAAAACCAAAAGGAAATTTTTATTTCATGGCTTTTGCTAGGAAATGAACGGAACCAATCAAATAAATGAAAGGAAATTTAGATGGACTACTCCTTATGTAAGCAAGATAGTATATGTTTTACTAAGTTCTACTGGAAAATAAAAGAAATCTGTCAAAAGGTTTCAGTCTTATCAATCACAATCGAAAGTAGATAATACAGTAAGTGATGCAAGCGAAATACTATTTGAAAAAGTTTAGCTATGCACACACTTCCTACAATTCTTCTCTTTTTTCCTTTTCTAATATTATTGACAGATTATGATATTGAAGATTACTAAAAGTAAGTTGCTTTGTTTCCATTCCCTTGAGTTGTTCTAAGCAAGAACAGCTAGGTCAGGTGGAGATTGAGCTATCATGGCCTTATTAGTTCTTTTATCGTGTTACTCATTGATCACACTAAAATTTATGCAGAAACAAGTGCTCCAAAATCCAGCCCTGGCCTTGAATCAGCGATGCTTCCAAAAGGAAATAATACAAACAAAGGCAGCAACAAGATTTGAATATTCGCAATTACAAGGCAGCCATCCTACTTCAGCCTATTGTCAGTAATAGAGAACTTGGGACAAGTAAATGGCGTCAAAACAAGGACAAAATAAATAGCGTTGGCTGTGACTAGATGAGGATTCACCAGGCACTAAGAATTTTCTCAGGTTTGGCATGCATGATGCGTAATGCATGGCAGCCATAGATTTTCAGGATGATTTATAATATCATTTCCATCAGAGTTAGCCACCTAATCTTCATTAAATTTACCTAAACCTCGTACACTCTAATCATATTTTAATCTGTTCTGAACACGTAATTACAACAACAATAATACAAAGCATTAAACACAGATTGAAAAGCACTTTGTTTCTGTAAAGTCACATGAGAACCAGTGATGGGAAATCGTTGCATAATGAATAGCCCCTTGATGCTCTTCAAGAAAGGCATGGATTCTGGTGGACATGTGAATTGGGATTGAGGATCATGATATAGCGGCCAAGAATTAACAGGAAATGGCATCAACTTGCTCTATTGGCACCAGAGCGTGAAAGAAAGAGGTAGGAAACAAGAAGAGTGGAAAGCCGTGGGCGTATTAGCAGTACAATTTTTTGTAATCAGGGAAGGATGACATGTTCCGCTAATGACGGCAAAGTTCATGCGAGCCATACGATGGATTGTCAAGGCCTCATTTCGTTTGAGATTACATCACAGTACTGACATATAAAAAATTACTTCGGACACAAGTATTTATCAAATATTTTATAAGTACTTTTAGCGCTTAAAAGTACTTTTTTTTTTTAATATAAATGCACCGTAACCTCATACGGGTCTTAAAAACATTATGAAATAAAACTCTGTGTTATACACTAAAATTTTTCTTTATTTAGTTTTGTTAAATAAAAGCATTTCATTAAATATAATCTGAAAATGATTATATATGGTGGAAGGGACATAGAACTTTACCTTTTAAAATTTGAGAAAGTTCCAACGATACTTAAAGTAATGAAAATTGTAAATTGGCTTTTTATTTAGTTTCAAATTACCAAGATCTCCTTTTTTTTTGTCCATCATTATTTATATTTTATACCATAATAATGGTCCTTTTAAAGTACCAAAGAACATCAATATTTTCGCAATAAAGACATGTGGTGTGCCAAGAAATATATCAAATCGCTGCCTTTTTTGAAGTCTGAAACATTTCAAAGACATTATATAATTTGACAGACAACTAGCCGTCAGAATATTGACAATCCTACCTTTTTTTAGCCTATTTTGAATTCACAATCCTAAATAGGCAAACCAAATTTCTTAAAAAATCAGAAACGTTACGAAACATTAGTCGTTAAATAGCTGCCTGACTATCCCAACTTTTTCCAAACAAAATTCTTTAAAGGATGATTTATAAAATGATGATCACATATCACATTTTTATGCAACAATATTTATTGTTAATACAAAATTTAAAACCTTTACTAATTACTAGGATTGAAAAAAAAAAAAAAAAAAAAGGGACACATACGTTAAGTGTATCCCTATCTTCTGGCTTTTTACTTCTCGTTGTCGGAAAGGTACCCCTTTAAGAATAAAAATGAAGGATTAGTGTACATTTGAAGTTTAGAGTAGAGGAAGAATTGCAATTTTAGTGTCCAATGTTGCCAAATTGGTTCTCAATGTTTCGGTCAATATAAATCTAGTTCGCAATAAATTATTGTTTCTTGTCACGAGTCTTGTTTGAAAAGCCATTTTTTTTCAACAAATTTCTACTATTTGCGTGAATATATTTGTTAATTATCTTTTTATTTCACATATATCAAACAGTTCCAATACATTTTTATATTAAAAAAAACTTCAAAAAATAACAATCCAAACGGGAAGTTAAATTTGTTTTGATTAAAATATTAGGGATCAATTTGACACACAGGCCAAACATTAGTGATCAGAATTGCAATTCTCCCTAGAATCAAAGAATTCTTCTAAGATTAAAACAAGTCAAAAAGAAAGCCAAGGAAAGTTGGGAAATGAGGCAAGAGTAAAGCATGCCATCACTTTTGTTGCAAGTGTAATATAAAGGCTGATGCATTGATGCAAAGACACCAACTCAAGAACAAACCTGTAATTTATTATTAATTTAAAAAAAAACCAGTGATTTGTTAAGAGGGAAAAAAACGACAATAAACTAACTTGTTGACCCGCCTACTGACTAATATGGAATATTAAATGCAGAAAAACTTGTTTTGAGTTGATTATGACTAATGGGTTTATCTCTCACAAAATTCCACAAGATAAGACAGAAATCTACCGAGTTAATAAATTTGAAATTAAATATTTCATTAAAAAAATAAAAAAGAAAAAAGAGCTCATAGATTGAGATGAGAATAAGCTGCTTTGGAGCTTCAAGCAAAACTCCACGCATCCGGAGGGGGTTTCACATTTTCATCCTGAAAAGGGTTTTTCTTCTTTCCCTCTCTCTCCATTTTTTTTTTTTTTTGGGTGTAAGAAGTTCCGAACTCCCTCCCCTTAGGCCCTTACCACCCAATTCATCATGAGAAAGTGAGCTTTTACCTCTCAATCAAACTTCAAAACACACAGAAATTAACCAAAGAAAGGATGCATATTGATCCAAAACTCGCAAGCTAAACCACAATAAGCATGATCTGGCAA